CAGTAAATATCTGGATGGTGGATAGTTACTAACCTACGATGTAAGTGGCTCCATGGCCTGGGAGGAGCTGCAAGGAGAAAGCCTGTTGCTTCTTTTTCTGTGAGTTGAGGGGAGGGAAGAAGGACCTTCTGTCTAGAGGGTTGTGGGAGAAATAATATCAGAGAAAAGCTAGGTAAGGAACTAGAGATAGAAACTGTAGGGAGATAGAGATAAAAATTCATATTATTCATGAAGTTTTTCTATAATTTTACGGAAACATGAAAATTGTTACCGTATATGACTGTGAAAAACATGAGAGTTCAAGTTTCCTGTCGCTGTTTTACAGAAAGGAGACACTCCGTTGCATATTGCTATTCGTGGGAGGAGTCGGAAACTGGCAGAACTTCTTTTAAGAAATCCCAAAGATGGACGGTTACTTTACAGGCCCAACAAAGCAGGAGAGACTCCTTACAACATTGACTGTAGCCATCAGAAAAGTATTTTAACTCAAATATTTGGAGCCAGTAAGTATTGTTTTTTGTTCCTGACTGAACTTTTAAAAAATGAATGTTGTATGAATAAATTAAGAGATCAAGAGCAATTTTCCATTTACCACTTAACAGGAGATTACAAAATTTGAGGAAGTTATTATCTTTCTATGGAGAAAAATACTCCTTCCTCTCAAAAGCTCTTGTGTGTTGTACTGTAGCATTCTAAATTAAGTATATTCAGAGTCATCAAGCAGCTTTAAGACCTCTAAAAAGGTGACTACTTTTCTAAGTCTTTTTCCCCATGTATACTTTGCCTTTCTCCTGTGTGGCTCTAGCACAGCACTTAGAGATCTTTCCTTTGCTGGTGCTGGACCCACCACAGGTTGTGCCTCTCCGTCCTGGTGAAGGCTCTTCGCTTACTAAAACCATCTCTCTCCGAGGCACCTGTCAGGTGTCCCCTTTTCAGTGAGGCTCTAACTGGTCTGCCTAACCAGTAAAATCTTTGCCTTGTTGGAATACTTATGCACCCACCTGTGTTTATATTTTTGTTTTTATATTTATTCTATGTGGCTTCTTTTTCTATTTCTTTTAGAATTTTCTCCCTTCCAGATTCCAAGTTCTTCAGGGCAGGGGCTCTTTCTTCTTATCTTTGTGTCCTCCATAACATCTAGCATAATGCCTGGAGTATTGTACTAAAATAGGTTTTGATTGAAAATATACTCATTTTCACATGAGAATGTAATCATTCATATGCAGTGTTTTGAAATACGGGACAATTTTCTACTAGAATTAAAATAGAGATAAGTAGGTCCCAGAAACCAACAGGAGATTGTAGAATACCACCATCTTCCGGCTTAGCTTCTTACTTATGTCTTGTTTTTAAGTATGAATCTATTATACTATGAGTTCTTATATGTCATTTTTTTCTAATTACAATAACAATGCACAGAAATTAAATTTCAAGAATGAAGACACAAATATAGTAAAAAGTGCAAATTTCTCATTGTCCCTTATCTTTTATCCTGTAATTGTTTTAATGACTCTCCAGGATTTTCTCTACATTTCTAAAAATATTTTATAATATGCATATAACCTTTAAAAAAATAAAAATTAGGTCATACCATGTTGTAACAGTTTTTAATAATGAATTATATCATGTTTTAATTGTTTCATAATCTTTCATTATAGGTTTTAGTACCACATTCAGCTCTCTGCTGATGAATGTTTGGTTTGTTTTGCTGTTAAAAGAGGGATGCTGCAGTGAACATCTTTTTGCATATATCCAATTACTTTTGTTTTTAGGCTTATTTTCTTGGAATAAACTGCCAGAAGTAGAATGGACAAGTCACAGTTTTCACTGATTTTGCATAATGGTTATAACAGTTTGTTCTCCATCAGGGCAAATATGAAGTGCCGTCCCCCACAACCTTGCTAACACTGCTATTTCCAGCCTCCCTAACCTTTGTTAATCAGATCAGTAAGAGAAACATATCTCATTTTAATTTGCATTGTAAAATTATTAGTGAGATTGAGATCTTTTAGTATGTTCATAAGCTATTTATTTTTTTGCCATTTTCCTCTTTGCATCATTTGCCTACTTTTTTCTTGAGTTTTTAACATTTTTAAAAAAATTGATTTTGTGCATCTTTATATGTTACAGATACTGGTCCTGGATGTATCCTATATGTTGCATCCCTGTCCCTAGCTTATTATTTACTTATAGTGATTTTTAAAAATTCTTCATCCAAAAGTTGTACATTTTTGTAGTTTGTCCATCTTCCTACAGTTCTGCCCTTAGTATTATATTGAGAAAGGCCATTCCTGTGCAAGGATTAAAGTTTTTCTCATATATCTTCTTTTCGTGTTTTTATGGCTTTACTCTTTACATTTAATTTTTTAATGTTTCAGAAACTTATTTTTGTTAAGGTATGAGAATATAGAGTTTAAGTTTTATTAAAAAAAATGGATGGCTTACCTCTCCTAACATCACTTACTAATTTATCCCTTCCCAACTGATTTGAGATGCCACTTAGGCTTATATCTTGTGCTGGATCGACAGTGTTCTAATTATTATAGCTTTACAGTATATTTTGATTCTTCTCCAAAGACAGTGACTCTTTGCTGCTCTTCAACACTTTTTCTCAGCTGTTCTTACATGTTCTTGCTTTTCAACTTTTCAAAAAATTCTCATCAGTTTTTATTGAAATTGCCTTAAAATGAGATTAATTTGGGGAGAATTGCTAACATTTGAACCTTTCTTCTAGAACCGTAGAATTTCTCTTTTTCTCTGAATACCCATTATATTCTTCACTCATATTTTATGACTATCTTTATATATGTATTACATATTAAATTTATTCCTGTGTACTAGTGTGTATTTTAATATTTTATTGATTCTGAAGTGTACCCTGTTCCACATTTTAGCATCTTTGAAATTGGAATGTATTTATAATTGATGGATAAGAAAGTATTATGTCACAATTTAGCAGCATTTTTTCTTTGTTGTGCATAATGATGATGCATCTTACAATCAGTAGGTATCAAGTTCTTTGAAATACAATTTTAATTTAAGAATCTCTGAACCTCTTTTGACACAGGTCTAACCATTTATAATAACTTTTTTCTCTAATTGAATAGCAGTTGGTAAATGAGAATTGATGTTCCTTTCTAATAGTAGTATCTCTCTTTAATGTAATAATATGGTGTGCTTATAATTACAGGACACTTGTCTCCAACCGAAACAGATGGTGACATGCTTGGTTATGATTTGTATAGCAGTGCCCTGGCAGATATTCTCAGCGAACCTACCATGCAGCCCCCCATTTGTGTGGGGCTCTATGCACAGTGGGGAAGCGGGAAATCTTTCTTACTCAAGAAACTAGAAGGTAAAGGGCATGTTGGTACAAAACCTGTATATATAACAAGTTTTTCTCTTGTTTTTTTTCTGAAGTGGAGAAAAAGAGTCTTATATGATATGGGTGTGTGTGACGCAATTTACCAAATTGAAATTAATTACTCCCTACTAGTTGATCACATGGTTATGTGAGTCTCTTGAAAACAAAGATCTAGTTGTGTTATAACACACTAAAATCCCTTGGCAGCAGATTTGGCTTGTGCTATGAATAAATATATCCAGAGCCCTTCATAGACTTGTTGGTTTGCATGGCCACAGTTGCCAGCACTACCTCTTGTGCGCCCCCCTTCTGCAGTCACGGGCTGTTTGCTCTTGCATTAACCGACTGAACACTCCTCCTGAGTTCCACCCTCTATTCGGAGCTTCCTAGACAGCTTCCCCACCCACCTTTTGCTTGGCAACATCTTATTCATCCTTCCTTCAAGGACAGGTTTCAAGATTGCCTATAAAATTTTTACCAAGTTTTTGGAGGAAGAATTACTGTTTTAAGTCTCACTGGGCTCAGCACATACGTTTAAGAGCCCTGGTCCTCAAATGTGATAGGAGGGAGAAGGGGTGAGAGTCAGAGAGGAATGAAAGAGGTGCGGAGTTTTGAAGGCACATAGCAGACCATGGTATTTAGTCTTCTTTTTGGAAACAATACCTCTTGCTTGTATAATACAAACCACAAAAAAAAATTTCAACAAAATCTTGACAGATGGGAAAAGGAAAAGGATTTTGAAATGAAAAAGGATTTTGGGCATTGTCAGTATGAGGCAGGGGAGTAGCTCAGACAAATGTGGGTGTGCTCCTGGGGAATGAGGTTTTTATGTTTATCCATAGACAGCATTGGTTAATATGGTTACATAGTAATATTCTCTCTAGGGACTTCGTAAGTACCTAATAAATGTTTATACTGAAAATGTGAAAATTTCAAATTGAGTTAGAAGATGTATTTCTTAAGCAAAACAGTAATACAGTTTCACATTAATTTCTCTTTCAGATGAAATGAAGACTTTTGCAGGACAACAAATTGAACCTCTTTTTCAGTTTTCCTGGCTGATAGTATTTCTGACACTGCTACTTTGTGGAGGACTTGGTTTATTGTTTGCTTTTACGGTCGACCCAAATCTTGGAATTGCAGTGTCATTGAGCCTCTTAGCTGTCTTATATATATTTTTCAGTAAGTCTTTGCTTTCAGTCCTTTTCAAAAACAGAGAAAATATCAAGACTCATTGTTTACTTAAAATATTATCTGTATCTCTTAAAACTTGTGACTTTTATATAGGTGAGAAAATTGGTTTTTTTTGATACTTTGTAAGTTAGTTTAGAGGAACATTGTCCACAGCCTGGATGGATTAGTTTGCTTTAAAAGCGAGTGTACTACTTGTAAATATTGAAACAGAACTCTAATTTATAATACTCACCCTTTTATATGTTAACTAATGACTACTATTTAAATCTCTTGAAAATAACTCTTCACAGCCATCTCTGGCATGCTCTTGAGCATTTTGATCATGACTAATTTTTATTTTAACTTAAAGCAAAATAGAAATGTAAAATAAAGTTCTTGTTCTTGGTGAGGGCATCTTCAGTTTCAAAAAAGGAAATAGATTTACTGTTGGAGGAGCTAGTTACTTCAACAGTGCGAATAGTGATAGACCCAAAGTCATTTACATTTGAATCTCAACTAAGTGATATATTTCTGTTTAAGGTAGTATCTTTCTGTGTTTTTTATGTCATATTTTAGTCAGTTTACTTTCCCCTTTTCACATTTCTTCTGTATTTTGGGGAGGTTCCCTGAGGAATTCTTTGAGGAGTAGTTAGGAAATAGCATGAGACCATGAGAAGTTATGTAAGTCTGTCATTACTTGATACTTGACTACTTGGAGAAAATAGGCAGCTTGACTAATGACTGTTTTGGATAACATTTTTAAAACCTTGTATTTCAGTTGTCATTTACTTTGGTGGACGAAGGGAAGGAGAGAGTTGGAACTGGGCCTGGGTCCTCAGTACTAGGTTGGCGAGGCACATTGGCTATTTGGAGCTTCTTCTCAAACTGATGTTTGTGAATCCACCCGAACTGCCAGAGCAAACCACTAAAGCATTGCCTGTGAGGTAAGTTGGGCCTTTTGACAAGTGACTTTTAGTAAGATGAAGCAAAAATCAAGTTTATAATGCAACATTTCTCAATGTACGTTCCAAAAACACTGGTCCCTTGAACTTTTTATATGAGAAATAATGCAAACAACATGTCCTGGTTAAATATGTTTGGGCAACACTTTATATCATATCTCCATCCTGTACATTAAAGGACCAGAGATACCTTTCCATAAAGAGATGTATTTAACTTTGATTTACCACATTCTATTTGAGCATAATCCTTCCCTTAGCTCCTGTGCCCCCAACACCTTAAGACACCTGTTGTCATCCTTTGGAAACACTTGGAAGAGTGCTGGGTGTAGGTTAGAGTCTTGGCATCTCCTTACATTAGTGTGTAACCTCAACAGCTTGGTTCACTCTCTGAGCTGCTCTTTCCTCATCTGTGGAAGTATTTACTCGCCTATCTAAAATTATTATTAATGTCAAATAGGAAATACATGAGAGAACAGCTCAGAAAAGATGAAAGACATGTATGTCAAGGAATGAAGTCGAGGAGTGGTAGAGGGCTCCGGAGGAAAGTACATGAAAACAGAAGGTTACAGGACTGAAAGCCAAAGCAATTCAACAAAAAGTAGCAATGTAATTAAGTATACACTTAATTAAATATGATTAAGAATTTTTAAATTATTGTAAGATAAAGTACGTGTAACTTAAGATGAAATAGGCCTACAAATGTAAGAAGGAAAAATAAAGATAAAAACTACATATAATAGCTTATAGGATTAAGTATTAAGAATAGGATTTAAAATGAAAAGTTAGAATGAAAAAGTTAAGAAAACTATTATAGAGTAGAATAAAGTAATTTGGGAGATTACTTTTACAGAAAATAACATTTTACATGGATGAGGTGGTATTTTTTAAAAAGTTAATTAAAACCACACAAATCAAGACTGCACAGTACAGTACAGTCTGATCTTAACACTGTGTTTTGAATACAGTCTTCTGGATTGAGATGAGAGCTCAGGAATGGGAGGTGAGAAAGGAGCTAATGCTGAACTATATGCATTCAGAGAATCAAAATAAAATAATTCACTTTACCAAAGAACAACTGTGAAGTGAATATTTTACAACTTATTTTTAAATCTGGTGATATTTAAGCTATAAATAAGAAGTTCTAAAACTTGAGTTTTGAAATGGCATAAATTCTTAATGACTATACTATTTTCTCAAGGTTCTAATCTCTTCAGTTGGCACTCAGAGCACTTTGTGCAGCTCCTTTTGGTTGCGTCCTGACTTGGGGGGGGGCACCTTTTGATCTCTGTGTTATGAGATCTTTGAAATGTTTGATTTCTTGTCTAAGCTCTGTCCTAACTTTCTTATCCTTCTGCCATTAGTCAGAATTACTCCATCTAACTCTGCTACATTAACTGTAGTTACTGTCTTTTCCTATGAAAAGATTGTAGGATGTTAGAAGTGGAAAACACCTAATTGTTCTTTTCCCTAAGAATTTTAAAGATAGTAATTTGAAATAAAGAAAGTATAGGGTAAATATAAGTATAGAGATGATGTATGTTGAAGTTACTTGTTTCCTTGAGTACCTGAGTAACATTTTATTTCCTCTGTCCTACAAGGTTTTTGTTCACAGATTACAATAGGCTCTCCAGTGTAGGCGGAGAAACGTCCATGGCTGAAATGATTGCAACCCTCTCAGATGCTTGTGAAAGAGAGTTTGGCTTTTTGGCAACCAGGCTTTTTCGAGTATTCAAGACTGAAGATACACAGGGTGGGGCTTCCTCCTTCTTCTTTGTGTGTATGTAGAGGTTGAGGATGGGATGAATGTTCAGTGTATTTCCATGAAAACACAAACTGACCATCAGATTTGTCATATGCTGTGACTGCAACTAAGACTTTATAGATAATTTATATGCAAATAATTGTTAAAACCATTTGTTGTCTTACAGGTAAAAAGAAATGGAAAAAAACATGTTGTCTCCCATCTTTTGTCATCTTCCTTTTTGTCTTTGGCTGCATTATTGCTGGAATTACCCTACTGGCTATATTTAGGGTTGACCCCAAGCATCTGACAGTGAACGCTGTCCTCATATCAATTGCGTCTATAGTGGGGCTGGCCTTGGTTCTGAATTGTCGTACGTGGTGGCAGGTGTTAGACTCTCTCCTGAATTCTCAAAGGAAACGCCTCCATAATGCTGCCTCCAAACTGCACAAATTGAAAAGTGAAGGATTCATGAAAGTAAGCGCTTATGGGTTCTTAGAAAATAATCCTAATGTGAATATGTTACCATGACTGTGACCATTGGGCTTTAAGGAGTGTACTCTTTAAATGTTAACAGCGTTGCATTTGTTTTTAGTTTCATTTCACATTTTTCCTGTGAAAAAGTATACTTGAAGTGGACAAAGTTATAGTAATACCATATTTTTATAAAAGAGACTTCTCGAAGAATTTGTCAGATTACTCCACAGATGGTAATTCCTGCCTAATAATATAGGTTCCTCTAGAGCTCTGTAGATTAAGCACATTGAACCACCAAAACATACATGATAGGGTCATAATCTAAGAACCAAAAGGGACTTCATGCAGTGTCTGCAGCCCCTTCCTTTGATCAAGGTCACGTGTCATCAGGAGCCAACTGTATTGTGGTTTTAAATCATTTGAATTTGCATTCAGTTCCAAGTATTTTGACATTCAGAGCATTTGATCTTGGCAAGTAAGTCACTCAGCTCAGTCTGTCCTTTTAAAAGGGATATGACAGTGTCTTTCTCATTGTAAGGTGAAATGCCCTAATTTATGTGAAGTCACTTTGTAAGTTGTGAAGCACTCACTTCAGTTATCAGTAAAACTGCAATGGTAGCAAGGAACTTGGATTTCTTTACTTCCAGTTAGACGATTTTTTATCAGGCTTCTTAAGAAACATGCTTAATTTTCTCCTTTGATCAGTGCTGTCTGTCCTTTGCTTTGTATAGGTTCTTAAGTGTGAAGTGGAATTGATGGCCAGGATGGCAAAAAGCATTGACAGCTTCACTCAGAATCAGACAAGGCTGGCGGTTATCATTGATGGCTTGGATGCCTGCGAGCAGGACAAAGTACTCCAGATGTTGGACACTGTATGTCCTAGCCGCCCTGAAACTGCAATCCTCACCTACGTGGCAGCTGGGAGGAATGACTTCATGAATAGCTCAGATGGAATTCGAATTTTTCTTTTATAAAAATAACCAATTTTTAAAAATGTAGAATAAGAGCAAAAGAGTGTATGTTTTATCACAAACAGATTTAAACAATTTTAGCTTAATGGCTGTGGGAGGGAACAAAATGAACAGAGTAGCTCTGAAGTCCATAGTGTGACTCCAGCTTTTCTTGGCAGATGGTTATGGTTAGAACTGGAAACAAAAGTGGGGAAACCACAGAATTTGTAGAGTTTTTGTTAAAGAAGGGCATGTCAGTGGCTCTCCGTAAGGTGTGTGATAAGCATAGTGTGTGACTGGGGGCGGAGATCAGTGTGCCCAGTACCTCATGTACATTCATGGGTATTTCTCATGTGGCCACGAGTATAGACCATAGTGGGTAGAAAACCTTAAGCATGCAGACCAAAAGAATGTGGACCATGAGTGTCTCAAAATAGGAGAGGATTAATTGTTGTCTTAGGAGGTTTTATCACTTTCAGATGGTAAAAAATTGTCAGATGGTGAAAAACCAGACTTCAGTAAAAGACTGTTTTCATATAGAATAATTTTTTAAAGAAAAGGAGCCAGTATTTTAAAAATGTAGTCATCAAAGGCAACACAGATTTTGAAGACAATTCTTATTACTGTGGCTAATTTTATATTTATATCATAAATTTACATTTCTTCTACCACAGGTCCGAGTTCTGTTTTCAAAAGGCCCTTTCATTGCCATTTTTGCAAGTGATCCGCATATTATTATAAAGGCAATTAACCAGAACCTCAACAGTGTGCTTCGTGACTCAAATATAAATGGACATGACTATATGCGCAACATAGTTCATTTGCCCGTTTTCCTTAACAGTCGTGGACTAAGCAGTGCAAGAAAATTTCTCGTAACTTCCACAACAAATGGAGACATTACATGCTCAGATACTACAGGTAAAGATCAAGTTCCTCAGGTACTTGAAGTAGTTCTGTAGTTTTTTATGGTGACTGACCTTTTACCTTGAAAAATATTGTTGGTGTTTCCGTTCTCATTAAATATCATGTACAACAGAATTTTAGTACAAATGGTGTTCTCTTGATAAATTCTTTAAGGGATACAGGAAGATGCTGACAGAAGAGTTTCACAAAACAGCCTTGGAGAGATGACAAAACTTGGTAGCAAGACAGCCCTCAATAGACGGGTAAGGTGCCATTTGTTTTGTGCCATAATGTTTGTTTTGTTATTATTCAAATAAAAATAAGGTGATGCCACTTAAATAATCTGTTGTAAGTAGTGCATTAAGTTCATCAAATAAGTTTGATCACTGAATTTCCTTTCAGCTTCAGGTGTTTTTTCAGGGAATGTCGAACCTAGAGCCATCACTGTGAATTGTATAGGAGTCCCTGACCTGTCCTATCTTGCTCTCAACCCAAGGGCCACCCCAGACCCCAGACCAATTGAGTCAAAGTCTCTGAGAATGAGGTTTTAAGGCTTCCCGTATGATTTCATTCGGGGTTGAAAGCCACTGTATTCACTCCAGGTCAGATTGTATTCATTCCAGGTGCCCATTGCCTCCTCAGCTGTGAGGGAGAAAGAGGCTTGTAGGTGAGAAACGCTCCTGGCTTCACCTTCCTGTTGGCTTTCCTCCTTCACTTATGTTTGTAGGTATGACTCTTTCATACCCACATAGCTTTTCCATGCCCTTCCCAGCCACCTTGGGTTTCTCCTTGAACGCTCTAGTTGTCCCTGACCTATTCCATTCCTAGAGTCTTCTTGTGTATAGAACAAAGGAGTATTACAAGACAGGAGGATGTCCACTCACAGGTAAGTTATGGCAGGAGTACTACTTCAGGATGGCTGGGTTGGGCTAGCTTTGGTGCTGCTTTCATTTTTTCCTAGTTAGCTACCAGTAAATTTGGACTTTCCAGTTTTTAAAGTGTGTCTTCAGTGACATTCTGATTTTATGCCTCTACCCTGTATTAAAGTAGGGGTGCAAAATTAATATTATGAACAACAACTAATAGCGCTAACTTAAGAGGAGGGTATCGTTTACCATTTGATCAGGACTCACGAGCTCCCTTTGGTGGCATGCATCACTCCCTTGTTTCTTGACCTTGGATGAGAACTCACCTCTGTGGTGTCCATTCCTCCGATCACATGGGATTCCCTAATCCACCCTGCCCACTTGAGGGTCTTTAATTCTTACGCAGTTGTGAGGATCGTTAGAGCAGCTGTGCCTTTTAGATGGTTGTCTCATATTTAAAACTAACCTAAAAATCAAAATGCTGACTCCTTAAAACTACCCAAGGGATTACATGCTTTATTATTTCAGGGTTCCCATAAATACTGAGCTCCTATGAGAGTTCAAATTGAATTCTGTTTATGTAATTCTGCTTACTTAACAATCTTCAAGGCATTCATTTAGCCTTCTCTGACTGTCCAGCTGCAAATCCAGAAACAACTGAAGCTAAACCATAGCCTTTGATGCAGTTGCTGCTATATTACTTTCTAATGCGTCTGTAAGGATTCTGTCTCAGGGAATTATTATGTGTCATCTCCCTGTGGTTTCTTTATTATTATTATCAAGTAATCTGCCTCTTTGACCAGAATTTTGAATTTTTGTTGTTGTCATAAACATATATTCACTTCTCAAAAAGCTGTAAATTCTCACACTCGAAGTATGGGTCCATGCTCTTTGATAATAACACTATTTCAGGATACTTACCGCCGAAGGCAGATTCAGCGGACCATCACTCGGCAGATGTCCTTTGATCTTACGAAACTGCTGGTTACGGAGGACTGGTTCAGTGACATTAGTCCTCAGACCATGAGAAGATTACTTAATATTGTTTCTGTGACAGGTAACCTTTGTTTCTTACAGCTTTAATATTAACAAAACAATTCAGTTTCCAGAACAAAAGGATGTGCTGTGTTTGTTTACACTAAGTACAGTTTTGTTTGCATTAAGTTTATCTAATAAAATCAGTATTAGTTTTGACAACAAAAATCTACCATTATTTGAACATTGTTGTTTTAAAACTTGATGATTTAAAAAAGCTTTTATTTCATCTCAGGTTTAATTATTCTCTTTGTGTAAAGATAATTTTAGGCTAATTTGTATAACAGTATAATTGTAATTGAAAATGCTGACGTTCAGATTCTGTACACTGCTATTTTGTTTTAGTTTTCAAATGATTTATTTTTTTCTTTTTTTTGTGGTAAACCAAATACACACATCACAAAATTTACCATCTTAACCATTTTAAGGGTACAGTTCACTGGTACTGAATACCTTATTAAATATATTGTTGTATAGCCATCACTACTATCCATCTCTGTACTTCTTTTCATCTTGTAAAACAAATTCTATACCTATTAATCAATAATTCCTCTTTCTCCCCTGCCCCTCTCCCCTGGCAAACACCATTTTAGTGTTTCTGTCTCTGATTTGACTACACTATGTACCTTGTCTAAGTGGGATCATACAGTTAGTTGTTTTTTTGTGGCTGGCTTGTTTTCATTTAGCATAATGCCTTCAAGGTTCATCCATGTTGTAGCATATGTCAGAATTTCCTTCCTTTTTAAGGCTGAGTAATATTCCATTGTATGGATAGGCCACATTTTGCTTATCCATTCATCTGTTGATGAATATGTAGGGTGCTTCCATGGTTTGGTTACTGTGAATAATGCTGCTGTGAGCATGGGTATACAAATATCTTTTTGAGACCCTGCTTTCAGTTCATTAGGGTATATACCCAGAAGTGGAATTGCTGGATTACATGGTATTTCTGTTTTTAATTGTTTGAGAAACTTTCATTCTGTTTTTCACAGCAGCTGTACCATTTTAGATTCCCACCAAGAGTGCACAAGGGTTCTGACCTCATCTTCTACTTACTTGCCTCCGCCCCTTACTAACCTCATTGCTGTTCCCTGAAAGTGCCAGCCATGCTCCTGCCTAAGGGCTTCAGCACTTGCCATTTCTGCCTGTAATGATCTTTCTTTGGAGAGAGATGCATAATATATATTCTCTTACCTCCTTTTATGTCTTTGCTTAAATATCACCTCTCCCTCTTTGGCACTTCTGGCTTTATCCCTTCACTGCTTTATTGCACTCTGTACAACTGGTCACTTTTTAATATACTGTACCGTTTATGTATTTATTTTGTTTTTGTCTGTCTCCTTTCAGCAGAACGTAAGACCCACGTGGCCTGGATTTTTGTCTATCTAGTTTAGTTTTTCTTTCCTCAGTGCCCAGAACAGGGGCCCTGTTGTTGAGTGAATCACAGCCCTCAACGCAGTGGGAGCTGAATTTTACAAACATCTTGAGAAAAGCATCCTGAGCAGAAGGAAAAGCAAATGTAAATGCTCTCATGTAGGATCCCAAGAACAGTTGGAGACCAATCTGATTGGAGTTCAGGGAATAAAAGGGAGAGTGCTGGGAAGTGACATCAGAGAAATAACCAGTGGCTCATTCATTTTGGCCCTTACAGGCCCACATCCATGGCAAGCACTTTGGGTTACATTTAGACACTTTCAGTCATTTCAGAAGATGACCACGTTAATGTCATTTATTAGTTTATGTTGAGATAAGCACATTTAGGAATTAATGGTATTACACTTTTCAGAGTAGAACCAAAGTATTTTCCTAAAGCCTCATTTTAAATGCAAGAGTTTCTCTAATGTTAGTCTTCTACTAAATAACAGTCTTTCTAGACCATTACATCAGAACTATTTTTATTTTGTTTCATCAGATCTTGTTCTTCCTGAAAATGAAAGGTTTCTAGGTAAAAATCTAATTTTGTGAAAGCACCTTAATACCATTAGTTTCATTGCTTCAATATAGAAGGGTTATGTTGAAAAATAACTTACGAATTTAAACCTTTGTATTTTAATGGACTTTTGATAGTTTACATGATAGATTTTATACTTAATTGGTTAAAACTAGTTAGCTATATGTAGAGAAATTTATTTAATTGAAATACAAAAATAAATAATTTATTGGATAGAATTTGAAGGCAAAAAACAGGCTTGAGTCCTGAGCATGTTAATTATCCCCTGGTAGGTTCCATTCCCTTATGTGTAAAAATGCATAAGATTCTCTGTTGCATGTTAAGATATACAGTACATGAGACTAATCAGAAAATAATTTGGAGTTTTAGTAGATGAAGTATTGGTGGGCATTTAATTAAGTGGCTTTCTACTTAAAAATTGTACTTTTTCAAATGTGCTTCATTTAAAATTTGTCTTAGTGAGTTACTTTAGAAGATAAAATTAAAAAGTAACCGTAGACACATTCATTGAACAAAATTTCTTCTTGCTACTGCTTTATTTCTTAACTATAATATGCTAGAATACTTAGAATACCTGCATCATTTTTATTCACTGACACACTTTTGAAATAGTTTTCCAGTTCTGTCTGTCACCAGGTTCACGAATTCTTGACTGCATTTGCTGTTCTCTTTATTTGACTGTCCTCTCTTCCCAAACTCAACCTCACCTAGCTCGGCTCCAGGGGTTCTGTTCTGGAGGGAACCTTCCCTTAACTGCTCCTTCTGGACTTGGTGCACAGTTTCTTTTCTCTCACAGCAATGTGTGTGTTTCCCCAGTAGAGTCTTATCTCATAGTGTTGCGATTGTTTTTTTTAATTTATCCATCTTTCCCAATACATCCTTGAATTCTTTTAGGGTGGGGAGTAAGTCTTGAATCTCTGTGATCAGTAAATATACTGAATGAGTGAGTTTTAGAAACTCAGTCAAGCAATTGTAGTTAGATTTGAGATCTTCACTGCCTTTTCCACGAATTATTATTTTGGTGATCAAGCCCAATTATTATGGGATGGAAATTGTATATACATTGTTGTCATCTTTGTCTCCAGTTTAGTTCTAAAAGTTTTTTCACCAGTTTCCTCATCTTCAAAAGTTCAAGAAGTGTGTTGTCAGTGTTGCATGTCCATTTAATGCCTTGCTTCTAGCTGCCTGGTTTTTAAAACTTAGTTCTCTGGTAACCTGTTCATACTCTGCTGAGAGTAGATCACCTCTCATCACAATTTATATCTGATGTATTCGTACTTTTTTATTGGTTTATTCTTCTGTCCCATTGGAGTGTAAGTGCCATGAAGGCTGTCATGAAGTGTCATGAAGAAACCATCTCCAACAAAAAAAAAACAAAAGAAGAAAACAAACAAACAAACAAACAAAAGAAACCATCTCTACTTAGTTAGGCGTTTTATCCTCAACATTAATATAGCATTAACTGAGATACTCCAGTTAGATTTTGTAGCTCTCAAATGCTTGTGACTCCAGCTCACTTAGATTGAAGGTAAAGACCCTGTCAACCATCTCACAGACAATAATCCACATTCCAGGGAAAAAAGAATCCAGTGATGATAATGTAGTTTGTGTGTGAAAGCAAATTTGCTGAGGGGGTGAGGTTCTGAGGACATGGGAAGAATTGGTTGGGGGGATTATTTATCTATACCTATTAGTAGAAGAGAAAAGACATTCATATTTGAACCAAAAGGAATAGATACCTTAGACTAAATATGAGCTAAACTGATACAATGAAGTAAAACTGATAAAATTAAAAAGCATTGATACAAGTAGTTCTGAATCCCAATGAAATCTAGAAGAAATTGATGAAGCAATGAAACAAAGCATCCATTCTGAAAGTTGAAAGATTGCAATTGTCTGCCTGTCAGCATGCCCAGTGGTAGAACACTAAATTAGAGTCCTAGAAAACCTTAGGGATGGATAGGGTTTTTAGAAAATATGTAAACAAATTTTAGAAATACATTATAACTCACCTGGCAGGTTATTTACATTGACCATCCTGAGTATCTAAAAATGAAAGTGATGGGCTTGCACGTCCATCTATAATGAAACAAGAACAGACCAATTGTTTGGGTTTAAGGTTCATCACTGGGCTCTTAGACTGTACTTTAGAGGGTGGAGCCCATCATGGGTGCATTGATGTTCTGCCCAGTGGTTGTGGGCAGCACTGAGACTGTCTGACACACAGTTTTGAAAGATTTTTGTGTGCGTGTGCATGATTAAAATAGTGTATAGCACCAGTGGCAAATCACACAAAAATTTTACTTTAGGATTAAACAGAATTATTTTTAAGCCCTAGAAGCTTTCCAGTATAGGTTCTTTGGATTATAAGCCATTTAAATACTAGGCTTGAATTTATAGTGTAAATTAAATGGCAAAATTTAAAGATTTAAAGTAAAATTATTTGTGAGTATACTAAATGTTTTGCTAAGCATAATATTACACATTTATTAATTTTAAACTGTTCTTGTATTCCTTAAAGGACGATTATTGAGAGCCAATCAGATTAGTTTCAACTGGGATAGGCTTGCGAGCTGGATCAACCTTACTGAGCAGTGGCCGTACCGAACTTCATGGCTCATATTATATTTGGAAGAGACTGAAGGTATTCCCGATCAAATGACACTAAAAACCATCTACGAAAGGTACTTTGTCTGACCTCTTTATATTTATCTTAGATTGAGTTGACTTTTCAGAACAAAATGAATGTGTGTAAAGCAAAATGAATGCAAGATAATATATATAAAATGTGTACTTCTGGATTCAACTAATAATCCTCATTAATTCCATTATAATTTTGGAGTTGTTAGCACAGGTATTCATCCCATCATGTAAAATCTATAGCTTTGTTTGCATATATTCTTTTTTCAGTGTAATCTATATGATAAAAAAATGTTCAGTAGTCTTAATGGCTTTATATATTTATATATACAAAATACAAACATTGAAACATTATTGTTTCCACTTTATTTGTTATTCTTAGTGCCTTCATAGAGTATTAAAGAGGGTTTGGGAGCTGGGAATACTGGCTGGAAAACATTTTTGCATCAAACCATAAAGGAGTTATTGTTCTTTTATAGTCAGTCATTTGAAGTACTTTTAAAATTTCTACTTCTGATAAAGAAATTTTTTTTCTTGGAAGATGTTAAGGTAAGGCTCAGATCTGTTAAGTACATAAAGTTTAATAAGAGTTACTTGTTTCTTGCTAAGTTCACAAATACAATAATCTTTTTGTTTACCATGACACTTAGTACCTTCATAGTTTCTAGCTGTATTCTAAATAAACTGTGTCTTAGAAAGAAGATACTAGAAGGCAACTCTACAATTTTATAAATTGTTTTATATTTGTATATAATTGTTTTATATTATAATTGAAACTTACTTTTACATGTAAATGAAAGGGGAGATCTAACAAAGTATTATTGTTCATATGTTGAAACTTTCAAGATTACAAATAATTTTCTTAGACTCTTTCAGCAGATACTTTTCCTATTTTCCAATCCCCATTTTTCATGTACACATTTTATTTTGTTTTCTAGGTAAATAGTTTTAGAATTATGGAGGATGGTTGTAGTATTAATCTACAGATTTGAGCTCTTCTTGGTTTTGCTGTTTATGTTAAATTAAGTCAGTTGTGTAAACTGCGCGTGCTGTACCAAGTAGGTGTTCCAGCAGATGGCAGTGACATACAATTACCATAGGCTTGTAGGGAAGTGGCACTGCATCTTGATGTTTTAGAAATCATTTTCTTACCATGAGATACATGATTGGCTTTTCCCTTGACTGTGTAGTAAAATACTGTTATAGTTCATGAATAAACATTTGCATCATAACAGGTGTGTTTAATTATGAATGTTTGCTAGATGAGCACAGTTATTATTAAACAGTTAAAATTTTAACATTTAAAATGTTTTAACTTTTTCAGTAATAATTCATACCAATATAATGGGATTTATTTTCAGATGGTATAGTTTTATGTAAAGCTCTAATTAGCATAGACAGGTAGTCCTTTGACACCTCACTTTATCTTTGAGAAATTGATATTATTTGTGTGTAAATAAAAGCATCTTGGAGAAAAGGGTAAGCTTTCATTTAGGGACTATACACTGGATTTTTAGAGTCTGTTTGAATTGGTCCTAGAATAATAAATTCTTGGTTTCAAGATATTTGGAAACTTGGAAACGGGAGCTGCTTGTCTCACAGGGCCTTGTTTAAGGAGGAGAGATGGCTAAGCATTAGCATTTTCTCCTTTTGGTATATGGATCGAGATTTTTCTTCCTTAGTGCCTTCTCAGCCAGCTGGTTTAGTACCTCTGAATGTTCGCAAAGCCCAGAGAGGTGGTTAGAGTCGTTTCATGTTATTAGCAAGGAAGATTGTGGTTCAGAAAATTTAAGTAACTTAACTGAAGTCACTAAGCTTTTAAGTAGCAGAACTATTTCAATCCAGGTTTGTCAGACTCCATAAACTTACATGCTTGCCACTGTTACAAATTTTACATTTTAACTCCTTTTATCCTCACAATCTGTGAGATGGTATATACTATTATTCTCATTTTATGTATGAGTTTATTGAATCCCAGAGAAGGTAAGTCACTTGCTGAGAGCCTCACAGCCAGTGAGTGGTAGTTTTATCAACCTCAGGCTAAAGCATTGCTTTCTGGATGATGGAAAACTTTTCAGACTAAAAGTACTGTGCTTTGCTGTTAGAAAAGTGTTAGACCTTTTGACGTTTTCACCCTAACTTCTAGCATTTGAGCCTCAAGCTATATGACTTCCTAATGTTCAAGGAAATTTTTAAAAATTTACATTTTTAATTAATTAAAATATATTTTACAGACAAAAGAGAATATATATATATCACTTACAGTTTAAAGATAATAGTAATTTTCAATCTGTGAAATGTTTTTGGTGGGGATATTTTTCATTATCTAGTGAGAGTAACTTGGAGTGAATTTTTGTAGGGGGAATATTTTATTTTGTTCAAGTAAATATAGAATAGTATATAAAAAGAGAATATATATATATCACTTACAGTTTAAAGATAATAGTAATTTTCAATCTGTGAAATGTTTTTGGTGGGGATATTTTTCATTATCTAGTGAGAGTAACTTGGAGTGAATTTTTGTAGGGGGAATATTTTATTTTGTTCAAGTAAATATAGAATAGTATATTGGAGGTGTAACGAGGTGATAAGACCTTTGTTTTGCCATTAAATGAATCCATTAGTTTAGACTTTAGCATTTGGTGGGCCTGCCATCCATCATTAATGGGTTAGATTCAGGGTCATTTTGAGATGTTTTTTTTTTTTTTTGAGAAAAAAGTACGTGTTATATGCTACAATACAACAATGTTTGTAGCTAGCTAGCATAAGGAAGAGAAACAGACAATGTATTAACAATCTTTGAGAATTCATTAAGGAATTGCCTTAAAATCATTAAATTTAAGATTACTTGGAATGAAAAACTATAGGAAGACAATTTGATCAACATATTGAAAAATCGTATATTGAAATATGTTAGAATAATTTAGTTGACTGCTTCTAGTTAACCATAGTTGAGTTCTTTGATGCTATGGCTTGTCATTTGAATAATAAAAAGTTTTATTTACAGCAGACAAAAAGCAGCAGTATATAATTGATATTCATTTATTAAAGAAATCTGATTTGGTAAAAACAGTCAGAAAATAGTATTTTTAACTCTAGTAGTAAAATTTATTTTTTTAATCCATAAAAAGCCTCATTTATTTTTATAGCAATTTGATGACACATCTGCTTGCTTTTATTCAGTTGAAAAAGAAAATGTTGGTTCTTGGTGTTTGGTAAAATTGCTTTGTTAAATTATTTTCTAAATTGTTCAACTTTTAACAAATGACATTTGATACTAACACTGGAAAGCAATTTCAGCTAATTAAGTAGATCCCTCTATAAACCATTGGAACATTAAGATGACATACTGTTCATTCAAGATTATTTTAATTGGTACAATTATTGTAATTTTCTTGCAATTATGTGTTGAGCTAAAAGCTTTTGTCTAGATCATTTGAGGGGCTTTTTTTGTTAACATACATTTAGTAAGAAGAAAGGGAGTAAAATAAAAACTGTAGATAAGATTTTTCTCTCTACCTTTTATTACAGCATTTTAGACAACTATTGAAATATTTTAGTATAAAACACTATTTCTGGCATTTTTCAGTAAGCATTTTAAGCAGTTATAGAGGCTTTTAAAAGATCAGTTTAAATAGTTTTCATGAAGATAATGTTTTAAATTTCTGTTTTGACACTGTTGAAGCAATCTTTTACTCAGGATGATACGGTCAGAATAATTCTGTGATAAGGGTATACCAGGCTTTATTTTGGTACTCTGTTTTGATTTTTAAAACGATTGAATATGTTTTGAGAGAGCCTCCAAATGGCAGCCATTTTCCATTTCATTGAAATAGCTACTTGCTAAGTAGACATAATGGACATCTAATTTTTAACATTTATACCAAATTCACCATGTTTAAATTATTCAAGGAGTGGTATTTCTGTACTTTATGTAAGATATTTTTCACAGTAAAACATCATATCTTATGATTGTTCTTCCTGACACTCAGCCAAAGTTTTCCTGAGCTAATTGTATAACCTTAGTTATCTCATTCCTCTCTTAGCTGTCACTCTCTCCTTCCTCTTTTCTTAATGTTCTGGGTGATCATTAGTTGTCCCCCATCCCATCCCGTCATGTGGCCATGATTATGCACAGGCTTATTTCTTTCGCTTGTGGACTTGTTATAAATTGCAATAGCATGAAAAATTGGATGCTAGTTAGTTAAGATTTGTGAAGAAGTCTCATCTCCTTTGTGGTACAAAGTATATCCTCTGTACTGATGATTTTTCTCTTAATTTAGGTTTTGTGTTAGTATAAATGTTTATGCCAAACAGTGTTTCATACATTCTGTTTTGGTGTTTTTATTCGGTTTAGAATCTTAATGAAATTCTCTCTTCTCGATATGATAATGACTTCTCTGTAGGTGTTGGTATTGTCATCATTCAACATTTATTAAATTATGGTCTTGTATATGATTATTGTTTCCATCTTTATTCTCCAAACACACTTGTCCTTAATGTGTATGTAATGGAAATACTTCATTCAGGGGCTCAATGTTTTATCAGTATCTTTATCTTTTTAAAAAATAGCCTGATCTAATAATCCTTTGCATAAACATGAAATAATTCTTCATACAGAAGGGGAAACTAAAGTTTGTGTTGAAAAAAAGAAAACATAATCTAAAATAGAAATCACGTTCTATCTGGATAGAAATAAATAACTAGTATATTTGCCAGGTATAATGTGAAAATTAAGCCTTCAAACTATGGACAAAGATGCCTGTAATCAGATGTAATGTTGATAATTAAATGTGCATTTCTGATTGTGCATTGTTTATTTTGATTCATTGTCTGTGGAAATTAATTAGAAAGCCCGGGTTCCTAAAGATAAAGGTGAAGGGAAGAATGTTTTAGTTTATTTTGATTTGCCTGCAAATGATGCCTACTTTTGTTGTTTGCAGGGAAAAAAAGGAAATCTGTTAAACTAGACATGCTTGACTGTTATTTGAGTTTATCTGTTTATATATTTTGCTGCTTCGTTGTTTTATATTGCTCCCAGACT